AACAAAGCCTTCATGAATGAGTAAGCACAGATCCGATGGAGAGAGGAGGGGAAATGGGAGGAAAAATTGCTCATTTTGCTTCCCCTGGCATGCAATTTCCATCCTCTATCCACATCTCTCTAAAAGCTATCTAAAACACATGAACTTCATCTTTCTAGGCTGGATGGGTCTCAGAGGATCACCTCCAGACATGGCACGACGACAGTGTGGGGGGCTGAGAAAGAAAAGGATGAAAATAATAATTCTGTCCTCTTGCTTATAGCAATGGGCTTCTCATTCTGGCGCTGATTAAAAAAGGGGGGCAGAAAAAAGCATTCATTTCAAACGTCACTCGCCTCTAGCAAAGACAAATACCGTATATTGAGGTAACTGATCATGCCTCGGATGGCCGTTTCATCAGAGAGAGTGCAACACGAGTATTTCGCCGCCTCCTTCTTCATTTTCGCTGCGTTACAATTGACCGGCGCAACATTCAAGCTGCGGGGCATGCTACACTGTGGCTGACCCCGAGTCCTTTTATTTTCCTCTGTAACAAATGGGGAAGTAAACGCTTTTAAAATGCATTTGATTCTGGTCAACTTTATGCTTTGAACCCGACACAGGCGCGCACATACGAAACACAAGAATGTGTTTTCTGAGAGCGATGTAAAAAGACAGCTGGAAACGGCGCCGTAACCACCCCTTTTATTGAAGTATTAAGCGTTGCTCTGTTAGAATAGGAATGCCATTACACGCGGGAAGTAAATAAAGCTAGCATGGCGGCGGCAAACGCTCGGCTTCAGTTCACATCCATACATGATGGTGTTCACATCAAGGTCTTAAAAAAAAAAAATGAGTGGCCGTGAAAATGATTTGCAAGCAAGCCCGTTCTTTGTTATACATCGCGAGTGAATAACAGCGAGAAAGAGGCGAACCCAGAGCTCAACTGCATCAAAGCGAATGGGAGGCCCCGTTTTTGAAGGCCATTTACTTTTCCATACAGTCTAGTTTCCCGTCGGAAAGCTTCTCAAGGACAGATTACCGTACTTCTGCAGGAAAACGATCAAGGAACAAAGCAGCTTCTTTCTGCTGAACCTTTCTGACCTGACCTAACATAACATATATGGTGCTGACACAATAGGGAATTATGACATCTCTTGTTGCGGATCCAGTGCGTAGGTGAGTTTTGTGGTATCCAATTCTCGAAAATAAAACTGGAATGTGTTTCGATTTTTGGATAAATGCAACAAGAAATAGCCGCTTACGGATAAAATACCCAAGTAAACACGCCTGGTTTTGGCTAATCGATAAAATGAATCAGAGTAATTTGTCATATTGGTGCAACGGTCTTTGACAAAATCCAACAATTCCATCACACAGTCCAGCTCGCTGATTCAAAACGCTGGCTGCAGTGTTCTAACTCGCCTTGTCTCCCAACAATTACATTCCTACTCAACTAAACAGCATCGTCTTTTATGTTTGGATGGATTTTCTGCCAGATTATGTTTGTGACTAATTATATATACGTTTCAAATCACCATTTATTTGACTTTATTATTTTACTGTCACACCCTATCAAACTGTCACACATCTTCAAATATCCTACAAAAAGGGACTAAATAAAAAAGATGTAGGTTGTTTTTTGACTTATTACTCAAGCTTATCACCTGTAAGTTCAGATAACCCAAGATTATATCTCCAATTTGGCTGTTTTGTCCAACCGACACAATCCACATAAAGTTATTTTCAGAGCAAACCTTCACAGTTGAGGAGCTAGAACCACTTAATATTGGGCTTTTATAACAAATAAATTAGTCCTTTAATATATTTCTATCAGCTGAATAATCAATGAACCTTTTCACAGATGATTGGAGTGTTCTTTTGTCTTCATGGCAGATTTATAACCTAGAGGACAGACTCACCAGTGACTGGACCGTCCAGGTTTAGGTGTCTTTATACTACAATCACTAAAGACACATTCACTGCACTCAGATTATCTCCATTTTACTAATTGTGTGATTTACAGCACGAGTTCGCTGCATCTGTGTTGAACTCGATGAGACACTTTAAAGGGGAGGATGCTACATTATTTATTTCTAATTAATTGACATCGACTTTGTAGAAATCTGTGCTCACTTTGACATCAAAGAGTTGGTTTTTTTTGTAAATACTTGTCCAGAAGTTCAATGCGCATGATTCAATGCTGCAAAGCAGTAAAAGGAGAAAACTTCCAAGAGGTATGAATACTTGGTATACTGTATACAATACTGTTAGAATATTACAGATATTAGCCCTACTCTCCTTTAGATTTATTCATTTTTAAGCATATAACCTGATTTAAATGATGATTTTTCCCATGTCTGTCCACACTTAAACTTTCAAGTCCAATGACTGAAAACCGGAGTAAGATAAATCTAAGGGATCTCCAGACAATAAACATGATCAACACATTCTTTCAGTGCAAAATTAAAAGCATTTTACTCTGAGTATTCAAACACTATATAGTTCTAACATCATCACGCCAAAGATTTCCTTCTGTACTCTCCAGACATGATTCTTCTCTGAATGGGCGAAGCGACACGGCCGGACATACCGTTATCTACCTGATCTACCATACTTGCCAATTCATGACATGATGGCTGCAACAAAAATAAATAGCTTTGAATCAGATCAATGCCCAGTGATTGTGATTGAAAATGGAACAAGGCATGGGGAAAGAGGAATCTCATCTTCAGGGGAATTGGATTTTCAAAAGATTTAACTGAGAGCACGTCTGTTATGCATGTAGTCCACAGCTTCTCGGATTTCACAACAGTCAATAACTCTGCACAGCGGTGCCAAGCAGGAATGGAAGGTGCTCGGGCTCCGGTACGACGTCTGTGGTATTCGCACACATGCACGTGGCCACACACATACATAAACACACGAGCCGAATCACCTTTCTGTATTTCCATTTCCACCCTCAGTCCTATTAATGTCATTTAATAGCCATGATTGAGGTGGCCCCCTTCTCCAAGTCCTCTCCTACATTCTTACTCACAAATCCTCATCAATTGCACCAATCACTCCTCACACCGAGCCAATATTCTACAGTGAGACAACCCTTATTTCCCACTGCATTAATGAACTCTTTCATTTGAAAGCCTTTGACTGTCCGCCCTTTGATTGCAAAGCCAAGGCCAATAGGCCTTGGTGACAGCTCCTTGAAAATTAAAAGTATCAATCAAGACAGGAAGGGAAGAAAGATGGGATGTTTTCAGACTCTTCTGTCTACCGGAGAGCGCGGTGGAAGCTGAACGGGGTCAAGTGGCATTCCAAAACGCTGTTGGTCTCGGCTCACTTTAGTGCAACGTAGGTGGAGCTTCTCTCAGGAAAATTAATTGTCATTTCCTCGTGGCAAAGCACTGAGGTTTGAAAGGTTGAAAAGGAATTTTATTAAATATAAAATGCAGAAATAATATTCACTGCACGCAGGTATTTTAAAATGTGTCTGTGCAGCTCTAATGGTCAAGCCCTGGTGGTTCACCTGTCGGCTTTATTAAGAAAAAGAACCATTCAAACGTGCCGTCAGTGTTAAATTGCTTTTAGCGCTAATGAAGGATTCCCAAAATAAACCCACCAATTGAGCAGCATCTTCAGCCCAACATTAGCATGTCCTTTAAATCTGCACTTAATCTATCAGGAAGCCGGAGAGGTATTCAGCGCTGCTGGGTAAACTTGACCAGCATAAAAAAGTGCCAATGCTGGATGACATAATCTCTGTCTAAATCAATTTCTGTGTGAGAGCACTCGACTCAGCTCAATATGTAGCTGCAGGGCTTCCGTTAAGTGGCCGCTGCCACTTACCTATTAATTCATGTGGTGCTGGTTGCTCCTGTGGCCAAGCTTAACCCCAGATGTTGGAAATGAATAAAGGTGTCATCAACATAGCCCCGCAAACCAAGAAGATATCTCCCTAAAGCGTCAAAACCAAATTAAAGTGGAAAGATTTGAAGCAGAGTAGGATGCAAGTTGATTTTTGGAGTTGGGCTGGATGAACAGAAGGCTTACGCTGCCTGTAGGCCTGAGGAGGTCTTGGTTTGTGATAAATTCACAGAAAAACAAAAGAGAAGCACCTCTGCAGCGGGTGCTGCTTGATAAATTCATGGCGTGCAACGTGCAAGGCTACAGTGCCTTCTGTAACTCATCTCTAGTGGGTTTTTTAAAGCCGGCATCTGCTCTAACTTTACATCAGTATCACTTCCTGATTCCCAAATATGTTTAACTGGCAAAGCCCAGTGTGGTCAGAGCCAGAGAGGAGCTCCAGCATCCATCTGGACCATCATAAGCCATCAAACATCCAGGCAGGGGAGGGAAGCAGGGGGAGAGGAGACTCGAGCAAACACTGAGGAGAAGCACAGAGAGAGTTGACTCGCCAAGCAATCACTCAGCAGAAATAATTTGAAATAACTAAGCCCGGCTTCTTCTTGCCTCCTTCCTCCAACACGCGTGCGTGCATCCACCGACACACAATCGCGCACTTCCACAGGCGCACATACACAAGCGCACACTGCTGACGCACCGGAGCGATGTGCATATGCGCACATTCTTACACAATAACCGCCGATAAAGAAAGAAAAACGAACGGTTCGTTTCCAATAACGCGCTAATGGCTCTGCGTGGATGAATTAGGTTTTTACTGGAGAATACCGGAGACTTCAGCAGTCCACTTCCACTGCCGTACTGCAGCCGTGAACAGTTCCACTGAGGAGGTTCCGTCCGCAACTAAAGCAGAAAAAAAAAAAGAAGCTGCTGGGCTTCATGCGTAAAAAACAGGATCTCTCCAAATGCGCATTTAAGTGCCGCATATTAGGACTCCATTTGTTCAATCCCGTCGATAAGTGGGCGATGCATATCTGTGCATATGAAATATCAGTGCCAAAATTAATCGTAGGTGTTGACAAACTGATTTAAACACATCCACAGAGGGCAGCACGATGCAACTTTGGCAACGTTTAAAAGAAATAATAAATCCAACTTACCCACAAGCAGTTTCCAAATGATAGCGTACACTCTGCTGTCAGTTCTGATGGCCCCACACCATCACGGTGTATCACACTATGTTCTGGTCTACAGAGTAAAGCACAAACGAGGGGGGTTTAAAAGAAAAAAGAAGGAATTCCAGCTGTGAAATAGTCCACTTCTCCAAAAACGCCGCGTCTGTCCCCAAAATTACATATTGCCAGTCCTCGCTGGCGCAAATCAGAGCGCAAAAAAAAACACCTGCAGCCAGTCACTTTCAAACAGCAGGAAAGAAGAAAATGAAGAAAATCATGACAGTGATTAGGGGAACGGTCGACGGAATCAATGAAGGACAGGACCAGAGGAGGCAATTAGTCTGATTATCCTATTAAATGAGTCGCTCAGCCGCTCACGGCCACGCAGCCCCGGCAGGTGAGCGCAGCTTTCAGCACGACTACACGAGCGCAAATTTCCAAAGTGATGTGCAGAAAAAGACACATCAGATGCCGTCTCTCTCTCCCTCTCTCCCTCTCCCTCTCTCTCAGAGTGCCGTTGTGTCAAAGCGAGATGCGTAAAGTGCGCACAAGTTAACCAAAACGGCACAGGACAGGAGGAGATTCCCTATCCGAATAAAAGCGCAATAGAGGGCTCATGGGGCGGTCATTTAAACACGAAATGAGGCTGTAGCTGTCATTATGCTGTGGTTGGATAAGCACGAGCCATAGCTGGATCCTACACAGTAAGAACTGCAGTATATCAGTGTCTGTGTATTCACATCCTCAACTAGAATTTGGATTCCAGAGCTGTTCCAAACAACCGCATTCTCCAGGATCGCTTTTATTTTGAAGGACACTCCGAAAGCTGCCGTTTCCTTACTCCATCTGCCTTAACACTCCGCTTCCAGTCAGCCCCTGCGTTCCTCTGGAGTCCTCATCCTCCACATGGCGCACTGGCGAAACCTCCCCAACAAACGCACATGAGAATAATCATCCTCATTATGCGCCTGTTTCGACAAATAAGCACAAAATGTGGGGGGATTACTTTTACTGGCTTATGCTGAGGATTGAGCGCAGACAGGCAGGCAGGCAGGGCGATGCGGTGCAGCTTAAGTTTGAGGACAGACGCACTGCCGCCCAATGGAAATAACAGCACAGGTCTGAAATGCACTGTAAAAACGCTCTCCTTAGCAGGTCACTGACGCCTGAGCGCGTTATTACTGTGTGATCAGGGTGAAAAAACATTAATGCAAATACACTAAACTGCACGCATGACATGGAAGCACATTTGTTCCAGGTAATCATTAAAAAACATGCAACCTATTTAAATGAAAAATATGAAATGTATCTCCTCAGAAGCTCCTAATTACAGTGTTGTTGTGACAGCTTTCTTCCAAAGTCATGTGTGATGGTGAGGGCAAATAAAGCTTGTTGTCCAGACAACACAAATCATGATTATTCATGAGGAAAAAATGATGACAAAAACCGCTCTGGAAACAAGAGAAATTATGTCGCCCTGTTTTGCAAATCCAAGTCAAGGAAGGACAGATTTTAAGAGCAACATCAGAACAAACTGTAAACTGTGCGTGAACGGGACCAGTCATTCGAAAGATTCGGCAGTTACAGAAACCCACAGTGCATTTTACGGCAATTTGGAAGAACTATTATATACTGCAGAGTAATTTAAAAGTACTAAAGAAAGCAGATCGACAGAATCCCGTTTAATTATGCACGGTTGCGATGCATGACCCAGCACAAACCATACCTTCATTTGCAGCAGAAAATGGTCTAAATGCTATGCTCCATTACCACAAAATTAGATATTTTTTTACTTGTCCACTTCTGGCAAACTTCTAAAAGTCAATGTGTTTTTATTACATTTTGAGCAGAGAACAGAAAAACCTGTTCTGATAACACTGACCCTGTTGATGAATGCTCTTTTAAAAAATATTAAAAGTAGAAACAGAGGTCTCAGTTGACATCACAGTGCAGTAAATCCACATCTGTATTCATCCCATTGTATCAGCATTAATTGCCATCTTTTTCCTGTTCCGTATTAATTACGCACCAAGATAAAAGTGACAAAGGTTTTTAATCACGGCTCAGGTATTACAAGTAGACTATTTATGAGTAACCGAGGATTGACTTCCAACAGGCGAGAGACATTCGCTAAGGATGATGAATGGACAGCGAGGCCACCTTGCTTTCTACCAGAACTGCAAAGGTGTGATCCGGCGTAAGGACTTAAAGGTAAGCAGGCCTCCATGTCGGTCAGTCAGCTTGTAAAAAAAAAAAAAAGGGACTCGTTTGATTTCCCTCTCACTGGGCTACCCCTGTCAAGAGTTTGGCCTCTCGCACCGCGCTTCTGTGAGGCGAATTTCGATGAGGGGAGGGCTTTGAGGAGGAGAAAAACCAGCCTTCTCGGACTGAAAATGTGCACTTGTGAGCTTTCTTTGTCATATACAGATCCTGACATGAATAGAGGTTCCTTAATGAGCGAAGAAGTGGACAAACACTGCATTGATTCCCTGCCTTCTATTCGGGGCTTTGCGTCCGCAAATGCCCTCAACTCAATCAAATGGTTAGTGTGCAACTTTGAGGACAACTGTCTAGTGAGGGCTGATTGTTTGCTGCTGGTTTTTTTTTTCTTTTCTGCCAATTTGAGGATTTGGGTGACAGCCTGGAAGAGCAGCGGTGTGGCGTTTGAATAAATCAATGGCTGCGTGGCAACATACAGAATTCATGGGCGTGTTTTTCACTTATGTTCTGGTATTTCTTTTTGTTACCTTTGCATGGTTCAGTTTTTTCTCCTTTACAGGCTAATGGCTTCATGAATTATTCTGAAATCCCAATTTATAAACTCCAAAACACATCATCACCGAGCACCAAACAAGGCTGTTTTTTAACCTTCTTAAAAGCTGACAATTTCGGAACACATTTCCTCTTGACAGCATCAGTTAGAAGCTTTATCCTGCTCCAATTAAAAATGACACATCTACTGATGTACCGTGTGAAAAACATGTCATGTGTTCCAACAAAATTATTAGCTACATGAAGGTGAAACCCAGTTTATGAAACTTATTATTTTAAAGAAATGGATTTCAGAATTGCTGGGGAACTTTGAAAGATTCATTTAAACTGTTCATTTGAGGTTAAGTTTGTCTTCCAAGTGTGAAGACGTTGTATTTTGGATTGAAATTCTTTATTAAGTTATGATAAAACCAGTATCTCACAGGCTTAAAGCAGCCCTTTGAAAGTACTACAGTATCTGCAATAAAAAAAAAAAAAGTGATTCTCAGTCAGATCTTGAAGCAGAATGTGTTAAAAGCATAAATGCGTTCGTGTATGTTGTGTGTGATGCTTCCAGATCTGAGTGATGGAAAGATGAGGAAAAATGTTATTAATGCATCTTAATCATTTTTCATGAAAACAAGACAAAATGCTACAAATCTAGGACTGCTGCAACCTTTTTAAGAAACTAGGCTAAGATCTATATTTCCTAATTGGAGGAGTGGACTGTAAGCAATGTTAAATTATTCATAATTAGCCGATCAAAAAGCATCTCTATAAGAGGATTATTGCATAAAACGGATGCAATGCTTCATTGTGATTGGCTAAATCATATGCAAAGCTATTTTCAACCACCAACTTAACACGTGAGCTCAGTTATAGATGTATCTGTGCTCTTCAGTGGCTTCTTTTGGTGAGGAAAGTGCAACAATTCACTGCCTATATGTACATTTGAAAAAATGGCCATAGCAACTAGTTTAGTTGCTAGTTGCAAGTAGTTTAATTCTAAATGATTCTATAGAACTCTAGATAATTCTATAGAATTCTAAACAATTCTATAGAACCCTAAATAATTCAATACAATTCTAAATTATTCTATAGAATTATTAGAAGAATATTTGGCCATGGGGTCAATTATACTCTTTTTTTGTTTTTTTTTTCTGGTAAAAATTGGGCTAAAGTCACCAGGTTCAGTAGTTTGATTAGCTTAGCTTAGCATCAAGTTTAAGTGGTACCAAGTAACCTGGCTCTGTGCAAAGTAGGCTTGGGTGATTGGATGAATATATGGACGATTGGTGATTGGCTGTGGTTTTGGTGTGATTTTGAGCATTTTTTTTTTGGTCTTTTTTATTATTAATCTAAAGGTCACTCTCTGAGAATTCAACTGGGTGGATCAACCTATTTGGAACAAGCACTCGGGGTTGAGAAATAAGTATGATAAGGACAGAGTACGTTGTTGTTATCAGCCATAAAGTGATCAGATTTCAGCATACCAGCTATCTAAATGTGGTGTACCATGTTCACTGCTATTGTTAGGAGCTGTTGATCTGGAAATGGCTTCTTCTTATAATAACTTCATTCATGAGTTTGGTGATGGTATAAACTTTCGTGGATAAAGATACAAAGGTGTGGACACATACAGGGTCAGCCAACAGAAAATTCAGATAGACGTTGTCAAAGATTGTGAACTAGTCTTAACAGTTATGGTAATTAAAGAGCCGATACATGTTGCAAAAACAGTCAATAAAGGCCTGAAGGCCGCATATTTATTCATCAAGGGAACTAGTCAGAAGAAAAGGGCAGATTGAATTATTGCAAACGAGGTCAATGGTAGAAAATTCCCAGAGAAAGGTGAAGACCTTGAAACTGAGACCACCGGATAGGAGGAGCCAGCAACAGGGTCTGCATTCATTAAACCAGCCTTGGTTTGCTGCATTTTGCTAAAATCACAGGAACTCTGTTTTACTTTGTTGTTTTTCTTTTTAATTTTCCGAGTCCGATTATAGAAAATACTTGTAGTTTATGAGTAAACTGAGTGTTGTGGAAGACTTAAAGATCTTGTGGCCCATCTAAGAAGTTTTGCCGTGACACTGGTTGCAAACAGCAGCGTATTTGGGGTTTTGGTTTAATTGCGTATAGAGTGGAAAAGTGAAATCTGGTCACAAGTGGTCACTAGAGACACATTCTAATGCCGGGTCAACTGACGTACTACATTCAGTGTACCTTGGAAATGGGACGTGACACCTCCATGTTGCATCGAAGGACACTGAGTGCACAAAGTCAAA